ACTGAGGTTTCCTGGAAAAGAGGAAATTCTGCCTCAAGTCTGCACCATCAACTCCTGCCTGCGTTTCCAGCCTGCTGGCCTGCCCTTTGAATTTCGGCCTTGCTTGCCCCTACAATTGCATGAGCCAATTCCTTAAAATAAGTCCCTTAATTATCTACATCCACACCTCTGTCTGTATTTCTTCTATTCTGTTTCTCTGGAAAACTCCAGCACATGGTATAGAACTATAGATTAGAAACACACTTCTCTCAGAAATTTTAAGGCATTGTTCCATTGTCCTCCAGCTTCTACTGATAATGTTGAGAAGTTTGATACAATTCTGACCCTTGAGTCTATTGATAAAGTTGTTTTACTCTCTGGAAGCTTATGGTATCTTTTCATATCCCCAGATCTGAAACTGCATGATCCAGATTCATTTTTATCTTTTGTACTGGGCTCTCAAAGTCTCTCTCAATCTGGAAACCTATGTCCTTTAGTTCTGGGAAATTTTCTTAAATTATTATTATTATTATTATTATTTTTTTGAGTTGGAGTCTCACTCTGTCGCCCAGACTGTAGTGCAGTGGCCACTGCCGGCCACTGCAGCCTCAACCTACTGGGCTCCAGTGATCCTTCCGCCTCAGCCTTTCGAGTAGCTGGAATTACAGGAGCACGCTACCGTGCCCGGTTAATTTTTTGTTTTATTGTAGAGATGAGGTCTCGCCTGCCCAGGCGGGTCTCGAACCCACGGGCTCAGGCAATCCACTCACCTCAGCCTCCCAAAGGCGCGGGATTACAGGCTGAGCCACCGAGCCCGGCTTCTTAAATTATTATTATTATTTTTCAACTCGTCATTTTTCTCTTCCTGGAAATCCTATTATTTGGATATTCTATCTACTGGAATGGTCTTAAAATATTCTTACCCCTTTTTCTATTTTCTTTTTGAGTTGGTGTCTCACTCTGTCGCCCAGGCTAGAGTGCGGTAGCACACTCATGGCCACCCCAGTGACGACCCACTGGGCTCAGGTGATCCTTCTGCCTCAGTCTTCCAAGTAGCTGGAACTACAGGTGCGTGCTACCACTCCTGGCTAGTTTTTCCTTTTTTTTTGAGTTGGAATCTCATTCTGTCCTCCAGGCTGGAGGACAGTGGCACGCTCCTGGTCACCGCAGCCTGACCTGCTTGGGCTCTGACGATCCTTCGGCCTCAGTCTTCCAAGTAGCTGGAACTACAAGCACACAGCACCATGCCCAGCCAATTTTTTGATTTATTGTAGAGATGAGGTCTCGCCAAGTTGCCCAGGCTGGTCTCGAACCCGCGGGCTCAGGCAATCCTCTCACCTCAGCCTCCCAAAGTGCTAGGATTACAGGCTTGAGCCATTGTGCCTGGTTCCCCTTTTTCTATTTTCAGTCTCTTAGGGAGTTTTCCCTACTTTTTCTTCCAGTCTCTCTCCCCAGCTCCTTTCCAATCTCTGCCATCATGATTTTAATTTCTTTCTTTGTTTTTCTTGAGTCAGGGTCTCACTCTGTCACCCAAGCTGGCATGATCATGGCTCACCACAGCCTCAACCTCCTGGACTCAGGTGATCCTTCCCCCTCAACCTCCTGAGTAGCTGGGGTTACGATGTGTACCACCATGCCTGGCTAATTTTTTTATTTTTATTTTGTGTAGATATGAGGTCTTACTATGTTGCCTAGGCTGCTCTCAAACTCCTGGACTCAAGCAATTCTCTCATCTTGGCCTCCCCAACTGTTGGGATTATAGGCATAAGCCACCTTGCCTGGCCCCATGCTGCTAATTTCTAGAAGCAATTTTATGAAGGAGGACCCAAAAAAGCCAGAAATTATCTTTTGGTGAGTAGGCCCCTTGTAGTACACTCAGAATTTGTTCCTCCGATCAAATGCTCAACCAAAGTTTTTATCTGGAAGTTTTAACAAGGGTGCATCACGATTTGCAGAAGAAACACCCTGAGTTGTGGCAAGCAGGTGACTGGTTCTTCCACCATGACAATGCAACTGCCCACACTGTGCTGAGTGTTCAGCAGTTTTTGACCAAAGACTGAGCAGTTTTTGCCCACTCTCCCTATTCACCCGATCTTGCCTGGAGTGTTTTTTTTTTGTTTGTTTCCCAGATGAAAAATGTTCTCAAAGGAAAATGTTTTGCCAATGTGGAAGAGGTGAAACAAAAAACAGCAGAAGCACTAAAAGGCATCAAAATGGACACGTTCAAAAACTGTGTTGAGCAGTGGAAAAAGCATCTCAGTAGATGTATTGCATCAAATGGAAAGTACTTTGAAGGTGACTGAAGTTTAAACATGTGAGAATAAATACATAGTTTTTAAATAAATTGTTTTTGGGGGTTCCTTGTGTTTTCTGGATGTTCATTTTTGCAATAGCATCTCAATCTTGTTTCATAGATGCCATATAACCTGTTATCTCTGAAGATGTAATGGTAATTTTCATTTGTTTTAAAGTTTACTTCCACCTGCATAGTTCTTTGTCTCCTCCAAGCTGTTTTTTTCCCCCCGTTTGTATATTTCAGTCTCATTTTAGAGAATTTCCTTAGATGTTTGGCTGCTCATGATGAGTGGGGACTAAAAGCTGTTAGTACATGGGTAAGCTTGTGGCTGAGCCTCACTGTAGGATGCTCTGGCTGGGTCGGTTTGGGGGAAGTTTTCAACAGACCTTTAAACTTTCCCTTTGGTGGGGTAACTATATCATTTATGGTCCAAACATGGAACGTTCCTGAAAATGAAAGGACATACTGCTATTACACGTGAGTGTTATTATACCTCTGATGATCCCAGGCAAATTAGAGGATGATAACCTACTTCCCATTAGTAAGACTTCTCAGAGAAACTTCTCCCGTGCTCAACATGGGTGCTAGAAGTCTGTCTTCACCTGGGAGCCATGTGGAAGAACAGGCCTGGGTGTCTCACTACTCACCTTTCAATGTGCATGTTTATAGCTGAATTAGAAGCTACCCAAATGTCAGCCAGCAATAGAATAGATTATTATGGTATGTTTATACAATAGTGCTATGGTATGAATGTATCCCCCAAAATTTATATGTTGAAATTGAACCCTCATTGCACCAGTATTAAGAGGTGGGGCTCTTAGGAGGTGATTAAATCATGAGGGGTCTGCTTTCATGGATGGAATTAATGCCTTATAAAAAGGCTGAAGGGAACTAGCTAGACCCACTTTTGCCCTTCTGTCCCTTCTGCCAAGTGAGGACATAGTGTCCGTCCCCTCCATAAGGATGCAGCAAAGAGGCGCCATGTTGGAAGCAGCTGCCTTCATCAGACACCAAACCTGGCCTTGATCTCAGGGGACTTCAAGTTTCCAGAACTGTGAGAAATACAGTTCTGTTCTTTGTAAATTACTCACTCTACCGCAGCAGAAAGGAACTAAGACAAATAGACTGCCACACAGTAATCAAAAAGAATGACTGTTTACCGAACACAAAAAAATTAATCTCATACGGTGCTGAACTACAAAAAGTCAAAAAAAAAAAAAAAAAAGGATGCATACTGTATAATTTCATTTATATGAAGTTCAAGAACTGGCAAAGCTAATTTATGATGCTAGAAGTTATAATAATGGCTACCTTTGGGGATGTCCTTGGTGGGGAGGGACCATGAAAGCAACTGTAGGTTAGTTGGAAATGTCCAGTCTCTTGCTTTACATGCTGGTTATATGGTGTCTGCATATGCAAACATTCATTGAACTATATCGTTCTTAGCTGTGCACTCAGGTGTATGTAAGTTATGCCTCAGTCATTAAAAGAGTACAAACTGTTGAGGTTTTCTGAAACAGGTGAGATAACACAGGCTGTCCAAGGTGATTCGGGTGGGGATGGAGGGTTGAGGATCATAGCTTCAAGGCATTGAAGTGACATTTGAGTTAGGCCTTAAAATAATGGTTCTTAACATTTCTCAGTTTTCAGGTCACTGTGAATTTGACGAAAACAACAGTCTTTCTCTCCACTGGAAAAAACCCATCCCACGTATACAAAAGCATACCCAATGATTTCATGGTCCTATTAATATTTATCCATGGCTCTTCTAGGAATCAGTGGGTCCTGGGCTAAGAACCCCTGCTTAGATAAATTGGTAGATTTGCCAGTGGGAGGGAGGAGTGGGATTTCAGCTGGAAAACCCAGGTAGTGAAGGAATGTCTGCTGGAACACACAAATACTAGAGCGAAGGAGGCAGAGAATCCTCAATCATCCATTTCAGCAGAATTCCCTGCTGGCATCCTAACCCAAGATAGATTTCCAGCACCGACTCTGCAGGTGAAATTGCTACATACACTGAGTAACCCTGATTCCAGGCTACACTTACAAAACTGTATAACATGCTTGCTTACAAGAATCAGCTTGCTTTAACTTGAAGCATTTTACACTGAGCATCTTACTCATCAGGAGTGCCTTTCTGCAGCTTGATCATTTTGCTTTCTAGTGATTTTTTCTCCCAGCCTCTTAAGTCTCTGCCACTGGGGCCCTCACCAGGTGGTGTAAACAGCATTGTTTGAAATATAAACTTCCCCCTCTGCTGAGTCCATTCCTATGTGGGAAGCATACTTCCCACACTTTTGACTTCACACTTGTCAGTGTCTCTTGCTCTGGCCGATGGAATGTTCCACGCTTTTTCTACTGCCATAAAAGTAGCATGTCCCAGGTAGGGCCTGCTGTGGACTCCAGAATGAAAAAGATTCTTGGAACACAGCTGCAGCTGACTCCCACATGTGAGAGAGAAATAAAAGTGTTGGTGAAAGCAACTATGATTGTTTGTTACCATAGCATAACACAGTGAAAGTTGACCAATACATCAGGACATTTGGGAAAGTCTCTGGATGAGTTGAGAAGAAGCTGCTATTGAGTCTTTTCCAAGGGCTTAGAGTTTTATCTTTCCATTTTCATCCATCATGAGATTCAGTTTATTGAGGCTTCCTGAATATCTCAAAATGAGGAGTATCTGTGTCATTTCTTTTTAGGTAATAAATGTAAAGACCATCCATCATTGGTATCAATGTATCACCATCATTGAGAACAAAATATTTTATTTCTCTCAATAAAACTATAGTTTACAGTAGTATTTACTAAATAAATTATATTTCTCTTTTACAAGCAATAAACTAAATCACAAATATTTCAAAGACAATGTATGTACACGACATAAGGCCTTTTATAAATAGCTTTGCTTTTCTCATTTCACTAGTAAACAGTGAAAAAATCTTTATAGAAGCTAGTTTTCTATAAAGTATAGCAGACCTATGACACTGATCTTTAAGTGAAACCAAATTTAAACTTTCAATGACATGGGCTATGATTACAATTTTGCAAAAAAGCAGAATTTATATTTTATTTACCATTTTGCATGGATGGGTTTTTAAAAAACATAGAAGCAGATTACATATGTTGCTTATGTGAAATCACAGGGTGCATGCAAAATGAAATAATGCAGGAGTCCATAGGAAAATAGTACTTCCAAGTCCAAAAAGGTGATTGGCAATGGTATAGAAAGCAGCTTAAATAGAGTTCATGCAGTTCTTCACAGTTTAGCAAGCAACAGCAAATGACAGAATATGGTGGTATTTTTCACATCCCATCTGCTGATCAGCCTGAACCAAGTCTTCCCCGATGTCTCACAAACTCCTAAGTCTAGCTGATGATTTCTCTGTGTGACGGGGCACAGCCTAGTTCCTATAGGTGGTTCTGGAGTGAAGAAACTTCTGTTTCACAACTGTGTCTCATCCACGTGCTTAGGCGGTCCCCGTTTTCACTTACTAGGGGGAAAAAAAGAAGGAAAGCAGCTGTGATACAGGGTTTGGCATTGTTCCCCTCCTCATGAATGGGAACACAAGTTCATTATTTCTCCCGGTCCACCTGTACCTGGAAAATGAGCAGGTAGAAATGGGGTGCATTAGGCTTGGGATTCCTCTGCAATGATTAGCATAGCATACACTTACCTGGAGGACTCCTACCATGTTAATTACAGCAATGTTTATCAAGATTAAGTCCCGACCACATCACATCACTGTGTTTGGGACCCAGAAGTAAGGAATGCCAAGACACACTCTGGCCCTCCAAGTGCACAGGGTTTAGGGGATGTCCTGTGGCATATGAGTCCTGAAGCCAAAATAACAACTTGAACATGGTCGTAAATTTGTGCACGTTTATTTCCGAACAATATCCCTGTCTGTGGCTGGGCAGTAAAAATGTTTAGCAAATATTTAATCTCAAATGATACTCATTTAAAATCAGAGCCAGCCAACTCAACCTGTAGCAGTTGTACCATGATATATAAGGGACAGCAGTACTATGTTCAGATGTTTTTAGAGACAGACATACTGGGCCAAATCTATTGATTTCCTAATTATTACATGTGATGTTATACACGTTAATTAACCTCTTTGAAATTTACTTGTTTCATCTGTAAGACAGAGGTAACAAACTCTGTGGTGAGGGATACATTTTTCTATGGGGAAAATAAAGTGTGTGCATACAAACATGAAATATATATGATATTAATATGTATACAATTTAGTACATTGCCTGGCATATGCTAGTGCCCCCAAAACTGTAGTGAAGAAGGTTGGGACGAAGATCACAGAGCCAACACCTTCAACTGAAGGTAGAAGAAGCTTGAGTGAAGACTCTGAAAATTATTAGGGGAAAAAAATTATGCCAGATAAAGGGAATTCTGTTTAACAATCAGTATTTTTTTTTAAAGCAGGATTTATTGAGAGGACAGAAAAGCTCCCACAGTGGGAAGGGATGCCAGGGGGTTACCCTTCAATTAGTATTTTGCCATGTAATTTGAGCTTATTGCATATTGTAATTTTTATGAACTTACCTTTTTATTCTATTGTTATTATTTTTTGAGTCTGAGTCTCACTCTGTAGCCTAGACTGGAGTGCAGTGCCATGCTCACGGCTACTGCAGCCTTAACCTGCTATGCTCAGGCAATCCTTCTGTCTCAGCCTTCCAAGGAGCTGGAACCACAGGTGTGTGCCACTATGCCCAGCTAAATTTTTTTTTTTTTTTTTTACTTATTGTAAAGACAAGGTCTTGCCAAGTTGCCCAGGCTGGTCTCGAACCCCTGGGCTTAGGCAATCCTCTTGCCTCTGCCTCCCAAAGTACTGGGAGTATAGACATGAGCCCTTACGCCCGGCCCCATTTTGTTTTAAAGTTTGACTGCTTCTTCTTATTAATCTAAGCTAGAAAGATTTGCTTGCTTAAAAGCATACCATGCTCAAATTTCACTCAGAAATGATCTTTTAGGAACAGGAGGGTGTCTGGTGTTATAAGCTGTGGCCGTGGACAAATGGGTGTTGCCCACAGACTCAGGACAGATGACCTTAATGTGGACTTCATTTGACGTCAGTCTGATAACTTTGGTAAGTGGCACAGATCTTTATCCACAAAACCAGTGTCATACAAAAAACCCACATAAAACGAAGTTCTATTGATTAGATTTATGAATCCTGCTTTCTTAAAAGAAAAAAAAAAGTGACAGTTTTGTTTTACTCATCCTATAACTCACAGTTAGAGTTCTGTGTCTGATTTCTGGTGCCAAGTCCTGAGAGGGATGCTGAGTAATCTAGTCATTCCTGTGGAGACTTACCAGTGAAGGGCCCCAGAGTCAGGACCCCACGGGAATGGCTAAAGATTTGGGCTTTTTGGTCTAGAAAACAGGAGATGTGGAGGCAGGACATTATAGTTATCTTTGAGTATCTGAGGCTAGCTTTGGGGAAGAAAGGCTTAGGTATCTGTTTAGTCCCAGGAATCCTGAAAGGTGTGACACTGTCACCAGCAATAGTGGCACAGATGCTGTGATTCTAGGTTGGGGTGAAATATTAGAATGTATGAAGGGAGTTGATATAGTTTGGATATTTGTTCCCTTCAAATCTTATGTGGATGGGCAATCCCTAGTGTTGGAGGCAGGGCCTAGTGGAAGGGGGGGATCCCTCATGAATTGCTTGGTGTCATTCTCATGGTAATGCATGAGTTCTTGCTGCTAGTTCACGAGAGATCTGATTGCTAAACAGAGCCTGGCATCTTCTTCCTCTCTCACCATGTGACATGTCCATGCTCTTTGCCTTCCGCCATGAGAAGAAGCTTTCTGAGGGTCTCACCAGATACAGATGCTGGTGCCACGCTTCCTGTACAGCATGCGGAATCATGAGCCAAAACAACCTTTTTTCTTTATAATTTTTTGTGGTTTTTTTTTTTGTGTTGAAGTCTTACTCTGTCACAGTGCAGTTGGAGTGCAGTGGCATGCTCATGGCCACTGCAGCCTCGACCTGGTGGGCTCAGGCAGTCCTTCCATGTAGTTGGAACTACAGGCGTGCACCATCATGCCCGGCTAATTTTTTTATTTACTGTAGAGACAAGGTCTTGTCAAATTGCCCAGGCTGGTCTTGAACCCATGGGTTCAGGCAATCCTTTCACTTCCACCTCCCAAAGTGCTGGGATGACAGGTCTGAACCACCACACCTGGCCCTTTTCTTTATGAACTACCCAGCTTCAGGCATTCCTTTATATTAACACAAAAAGGATGACTACAGGGGTAGAGCTGCGAAGCCTCATGTCTTCATTCTCTCCCCATCATGATCCTGACACTCACGTCCTCCCCTAGTATATGATAATATACACCTCACTCACGCTCTCCCCAGATCCCTAAGCCTAATTTGTCATCTGTGAAGAATGGTGGAGAATGGCTCCAGAAGCTGGAACCAGGACAGATGTCCCGGAGGCCGTTTTTGCCTCATCGTGGAAGTTCTTTCTGACCAGAATAGACAGAGGAGTGGTCCCTAAAGCAGGGGCAGCTGCTGACACTGAGGAGTTAGCCCAGGAGGGCAGGGGCACCACCAGATTCTACGAAAAGCTGTCTGTAAATTTGTACCACTGAATAACTCAGCATATTGTAAATAGTTGATGATTCATGCAACCAGAACTATCTGAAAAGAATTTACTATCTTGATGTCTCTCATAAAATTGGTAAATTAATAATCAGAGACAAACAGGGTCTTATAATAATAAAACATACTCTCCTTAGAATAAAAAATCAAGAGTGATTTCCAGCTCTGGTCATAAGAAGTTCTTTGCATGCACACAATAAGCTTTGCTTTGTTTCTTTATAAACAAAAAGGATGCTGAAAAAAATTTTTATAAACGTCTATAAACAGTCTCACCCCCAGGGTACAAGAATATCAGAGTTGAGTGAGAACTGTCAACTCTGTATTCGTGTTGCAACGCAACTCTTGGATGACATGATTGGTTACATCAAAGTGTCCATTTTGCACTGATTTATAACACTATTAAAATGAGATGGACAGGTCTCAAGTAAGTGTATTCTGCAGGGCCTGAAAACACAGTGTCTTCTTGCTTGCAACATTGCCACAGTGAGAAGTATGCAGAAAGCAAGTTTGTTATTCCTTCTTTTTTTTTTTCTTCCTTTTTTGATCTGGGGTCTCACTCTGTTGCCCAGGCTGGTGTGCAGTGGCATGATCACAGCTTGCCACACCTTGACCTCTTGGGCTCAGACAATCCTTCCACCTCAACCTCCTGAGTAGCTGGGACTACAGGCACGTACCACCACACCCAACTCATTTCTTGATTTATTTGTAGAGGTGAGGTCTCGCTATGTTGCCCAGGCTGGTCTCGAACTCCTGGGCTCAAGTAATCCTTGGCCTCCCAAAGTGCTGGGATTACAGGTATGAGGCACCACGCCTGACCTGTTATTCCTTCTTTAGAATAAAATATGCTATAATGTGCCTTTCTTCAAATTTAGAACTCAGAAGTCCTATAGTAGCCATTACTGAAGAGACATGACCATGAATGTCTACCCTGATAAGGAAGCTGACAGCGTGGGATACACAAGAAGTCCCTTCAGCTCCCTGACACGCAGATGGCCCCTTCAGGTAGAATTGCCCAAAAGACTAGCAGCTACTTCTCAAGGTGAACTGAGATCCAGCCTCCGCTGACCCCAGGGCTTTAGAACCAGAACTGGGAACTGGTGCTTTGGCATTGGAACCCAAGCAGATTTCGGAGATGGACAACAGATTTCAGCTCTGTCACCAACTGAATCACTGCATTCATGCACACATACATACACGCACCATCATGTGCAGAGCTGACAAGAGGCAGAAACTCCCAACAGCCTGGCCCAGATGAGTGCACTGGCCAAGTCCTACAAGCCTCCACAATCCCTGAGCTCTTAACCCTTAGGGGTGATGTTCTTTTTTAACTATAATCACCCCAGGATTCAGGTCTGGGGCCTCATGGCAGCCGGATCTTTCCCTGTCTGGTGTCTGTGAAGTCCTCACTTTGGTTTCAAGGTGAAATTCTTTGCCAAAAATATCTCTGAGGAAAGTCAGTTTTTCTCCTGGCTATTGTAGGCACTCAGTCCCTTATTTGGGTTTCCTGTCCCAAGCCCCCATTTTCCATCATCAGCTCCTGAATTCTGTTTATTCCCCCAGCCCCTGGTTCTTTTCTGTTTCCCACTGCTCTGGTTCTTTTGGCTGATGTACCTTCTGTTGCCACAAGGGAGCCCATCACCTTGTCCTACCTCATTCCATCTGTGTCGTCTAAGCTCACAGCATCCCCACAAACCCATAAAAGCCTCATGATACCTCACCCCAACATCTCCTTGGCTCCAGGGTCCCCTTCCTCTCTGGGTTCACCTGATTGCTTTCTCAGAGATCTCTGAATTTCAAATACAAAGTTGTCACCTTTGGGGACTGAGAAATCTAAAGTCTTAAAAAAAAAAGAATCGATACTT